ATGGACAGATGATGGATGGATGGGTGGATGGATGGACAGATGATGGATGGATGGGTAGATGATGGATGGACAGATGATGGATGGATGGGTGGATGATGGATGGATGGATGCATAAACCCATAGGCATGACTGGTAACACTTAGAAAGGAAGTATCAAATGAGAAGGAAGAAAACCAAGAACCAAACCCTGAGGAGACACATATAGAGATTGTTAATGCTCCTTGCCAAATATTCAGAAGCTTAGAATTTGACATTCTTGCAGCAGTGAATGAGGATAGAGGTGTGATTTTCAGTTCTACTGATTCCACATCCCCAGCCAGGATGTCTCCAAAGTAATCCAAAAGGTGAAGTTCTTTTTTAAAAAATCAAAAGCAGAAACAAGATAAGTACCCCTGCCCTTCACATAGGGCACAAAGAAGGGACTGGTGTTATCCCAGTAACCCAGGGGCTCCCCAGCCCCAGTGTTACTGTTGTAAGCATGGCAGACTGCAATGTACATGAAATCTGGCTAAACATGGGCCACAGCTGCAGCTTCTCTTTAAGACTGGAACTGAAGATAGGCTGTGCTCTGACCTAGTAATGGCGGCCAGGTCATTTCCCCACCACTTGCTCCCCTCCAAGACCATTGCAATCAGATCGCCAGTGTCTGGAAGTCTGACCGTGTGTTACCCTACAGAAATATGGGTTGCGGTTAATCTGTCAGACTAGAAATTCCAGAAATGCTGAGTAAGACTTGCATCACGCAGTATTTCCCAGACCTGCCATCTTTCCCCCTAAATTCCAGATCCCTCTGGAAATAAAACCCCTGCTCTTTACCACTGCCCCATCCACCTTTGAGAATATTGTCTTAAGAGATCAAACACGCCTACGAGGCTTGGTTGGTTAATCCCAGGAAAGCCAGCTCTACTGGTGCAGAGGGAGACTACTTCAAGTTTTTTGGGTGATGTCCTGAGTGGCCCAGAAGGCTGGGGTTGTTCTTAAAGATCTGATTGGTGCAGGACTGGCTGTGGGTCCAGCCAGAAAGATAGGCAATATCTGATGCTACACTTCTCCTGCCTGGGTTCTTGTGCTTCTTTTGATAAGGAAAACAAAGAACCCTTTACATTTTTCTTTGCAAGCTCAGTTACTTGTGACTATTTCTACAAGACTTTGTTACAAAGAAAAGGCTTTCCTGCACCCAGAGAAAATTTTTCTTGCTCAGATCTCTAAGATATCTTTTTCTAATTAAAAAAAAGTTGTGATACACTCTGTATGTGCACTCCCGTGTTTGTTTTATTAAAGTACCAGTATCCAAACAAAAGAAAAAATCTGGAGAAAGAGATATAGCGACAGGAACCTCCATGGGGGGTTCCTGAGGACCCTGACTTTCACTTGGTCACAATAGATCATGGCTCTATTGTGTGCTGGCCAGTGAAGACAGAGATTTCTGTACTGTTGGAATCCGAAACATAGACACATGCATATATTTTTGTAGCCAAAAATATAAGGAACAGCTTCCTCCCAAAGGGGAACTCCCGGTTAGCATTACGGTCCATCATCAACTCTAGGAATGTGACCAAGGATCCCCATCCTCCCGCTAAAAACCTCGATGCCCTCACCCTTCAATTCCTCCGTGGCTTCTACCACAATGGGGTCTTGCCCCTGGGTCACAGGTCACAGTGGTAGCCCTGCATATAGTGCTCTACAGGAGGTTCTCAAAATTACATGAAGTTGGTTTCTAGCAAAAGTTCTCCTGGTCATCGCCACCATGCACGTGTTTCCTATGGAACTCTTCCAGAAGATTCCCAGCCCAGTCTAAGCAGCACAATTCCCACATCCACCAGGCTCTTATAATCCAAGCCAACATCAGCCAGCCATCTTGTCACCCCACCCCACCCCCCCACCTTGGGATCCTGGCCACGCGCCTCTCCCAGCCCATACTTCGCATTAGCCAGGACAGCCCTTAGGGCACAAAGCCCCGGTGTCTCTGTCAGCAAACAAGCCCAGGACGGAGCTAGGCCTGCCTCTGCTCCTACATCTACTAGCTGAGCTGTCAGCTAGTGCAAACACATCTCCTTGCTGGGTTTTTAGAACGATTAGAAAATATCAGGTGTCAAACTGCTGGCACGATGCCTGGCACACAACAGGTGCGTGATCCTCGCTAGCTGTTATTCTAAGATAGTTCTCAGTCTTCCCACTGGATGTTCCCAGACAGTGGCACTGCCAAAGACTGAGGCCCATCTACACACCCTCTTCCTTCCTCTCCATAATCATCTCTCTGCTCCTCTCCTCCGCTCCCCTCTATCCCCATTCCAGACACAGCACTTGACTCCCCATGACTCCCCTTGTCCTTCCATCCCAGAGGGTCAGGAACAAAAGGTCTGGAGTTTTGGCTCCTTTGACATCACCCATTTTTTTTCCCCTCTTACTCTTCCCCTTTGCCGTCAAACTCAGAGGTGAAATGACCAGGTCACCCAGTGAAAGATCACTTTTATCACTCCTTTCAACCAGATATTCCTGCTCTTGCTGGCTCCCTGGAATGGTGGTGGTTTAGCCCAGTCCGATTTGATTCAATTTAAAGGAAAGAGCAAATGGTGTTTCTGCCATGGCTCCCGCGCTGTTTTAAAATGGTTCCAGTTATGTCAACTCTTCACAAGACCTTGCCCCAAAGGCAAAGCAGGTGAACTAAATTGATTCCTAACCTTCTTCTTGCATGTCTTTTTAAGGCTTCTCCTTGTATCTGAAATATCTTCTGGAACACTATAAGAAAATTACAAGCCACTCCCAGGAGCTTCAGGTATTCTTTTAATTCTGGAAGTTTATTTCAGCTCCTCCTTGGCATTTAAATAACATTGTGCATTTTGGTCCTGTTGTTAGTTCACAACCTCCCAATGGTGAAATGATGCCTCTGTTTGCATGTGAAGTCTCAGACAGGGCTGTGGGGACTCCCCGGAAGGACAG